TTCGGGAAGGTCTGTGCCTGTCCGCTTCTTCATGAGAATGTGGTAGCGAAAGAAAGACAGCTCTGCCGGATAATACCTTGTGAAGCTCATTGAGCTCAACCTCAGCTAAGAAATATTTGAAACGGATGTCTGTCCATAGCATACTTGGATGGAAGTGCCAAGATCATCCGACCTTCTCTGTGTGTCTTGGAATTTTCCAGTGAAGGCAAAAGACCACAAATCCACATGTTGCTAGTGAATAGCAAAAAACAGGTCTTCATGAGTAATCTGTGGAAACAGGTGGAGGTATAATTTGTGTGATCCCCTCCCATCTTACTGCCAGTGGAAACTTGCTCTCTGCCATCACGATGTGTTGCCAACGTTTTGATTTGGTCGTCTGCTCCTTTGCTATGAGTTCTCCGAGTTTGCTTTGAGTGCTCAAGGAGTAATTCCCCGCTATAAGAAGGAGCACCACGGGCAGTCTCCTACTGATGTTCGTAATGTAAACAACAGTATGTATCTAGGAGGAAGGCTGTCTGTTTGTTCATATTCCAAAAACTCTGAAAAAGTCGATAATTTAAACAAAAAATGACTGTAGTGCCAGACAGACTCATTCTGAAGAGTTCTCCTTAGTAAGAAGTGACAGCCCTGTTCAGTTGCTAGTCACTGAGAAATAAACCTTGCCATTAAACCTCAAAACCAGTTTTGCCACCTTATGTTAACTATTCTGAGCTTACCTTTGGTGTGGCTGTGCTGCTTGTGGCAAGTTTTTTCGATTTCTAGAAACATATGTCAGTATAGAGAACAAAAGCATACTAAACTTCTAGCATACCAGTGTGTATTTTTTTTCCCCGTTTTTGTGATCCTTTGTTGTGAAATGGTACATCCAGCTGCAGATGAAGCCTCTGCCACGTAGATGCATGACTCATCCTGGCCTCTGGAGACCTCTGGGACAGAGGGAACCCCAGCTGAAGCCAAGTGCCATGGTCAGTTCGGTTTCACTTTTGAAGGTGCAGAGGCAGGAACTCTCCCTGACTTTCTGTGTAGGTAAATCTTCAAACTAGTCCTGCAGTGATTACTACCAGTTTAAAATATTGTGGATTTTTTTTTTTTTTTTAACATCACGATAATGTAAGTTTACCTGTGATCAACAGAGATCTTGGAGACTGTTATGGTTATTTTCTTTCTTGTGCACGTGGACCTCACTTTGCGCTGAAGAAAACAAACAGGTAAATTTTCTAGGATATTCCTCCCTAGCTGCAGGTGCTTCTGTGCTCCTCTGAACACCATCCCTTTGAGGTAAAATCCTTTGGAAAGGTGTGTGTTTTGCTATGATGAAGCGCAGAATATCAGTTCTAGCCTCTATTACTGTGACTTAACATTTTTCCTCTGTGTCCCCTGTATGTTGTCCAGAAAAGTCTTTTAACCAGTCTGGGGTTGTGGAGTTCCTCCAAACTCTCCATGTCTGCCCAGAGCCTGGGCTGTGCTGAGGTCTTTCTTCCAGTTTGGGAATTATACAGAGCTCTCTCTCCACATGACTTTGAGGCATGATCTAGTACTGTTAACAGCGTGATTCAATCATTAACGAGAACTTGCAAAAAGACAAGCAGACTACCGCAGGTGAAACAAACAGTTTGGCAGGCGGTGGGAAAGGAGCAGCTGTGTCATCAGATTTAAGGTGAGAGCCTGAGGCAAAGAGAACCTGAGTCCTTCTGAGGCAGGTGAGCAGCACCTGGGAGTTGCCGTGTTGATTTATTTAAGTTGGTGCTGGGCCCCACTGCACCTGAGGTAAGCTGTTCCAGGACTTACACACTCTCTGTGTGCAGTCTATTTTTCTGAGAAAAGGGATTTTGAATAAGGCTTGAAAATATTCCTTTCCCCAACATTTCTGGTAATGCAAAGAGTGAACTAGCAGGTGAAGGTCTGTATCTCAGGGAAATCTAGGGAAGCGTGAACTGTACAAGGACTTGGATGAAAGCTTGTTTTAAGCCAGTAGCTACAGTAAAAGGACCTTTTAACTGAAAGGTTAAAAAGAAACTAAAAAAGCTGTTAGTCATGCTCTGCAGGAAAACTGTAGATTAGATTCTCGGGGATCTGATTGCGGCTCACAGACTTTCAGCTCAGAAAGAAGAGAGGAAAATAGATGTTTGCTTTTCATGTATAGGCTCTTCAGCGTGCACCAGCTCAGTGGACAGCAGAGGTTGTCTCTAAAAAGCCAGCAGGATTCCCTCGTAGTGGGAAGAAATATTTTGCTGCATTATTTGGGTGAAATTGCCCTCTCCTTCTCTAAAGGGTAGGCAACTGATGGGAAGGTGCTTCCATACTGCACCCTGCCCTCTCGGTATTAGTGTGTAGCTCTGTGTGCATGTGTAGCTCTCAGTATTAGTGTGTAGTATTACTGGCAGGCCAAATGTTGGAGACAGATTTTTGCAGATTTTTTCTTACTCTCTCCCTTGTCTGCTCCTCTTATCCTCTGCGTTTCTGCAGGTGACGTAATGATAGGGGCAGGATGGACAGGACAGCCTGCCACATCTGCAAATGCATCTGTTTACATGCTCCTCATCTGGCCCCTATTGAGAAGTATTTTTATTCATGGAAGTGAAAACTATCCTTTTTTGTTCTGCTCTTTGCTGACTTTACTCACTCGTTCTACATCTGTCCACCACAGTTACATTCAAGACTCTGATCTTTCTATGTAAGATGTAATGCCTTCAAACCAGAAACCACTGTCACATCTTGCTGAATTCCAGCTTTCAAAAAATGGCAGATTTAGTGAAGGTATATTAAAAGATATTTAAAGATATCTTATCTCCCTTGAAGAGAATGGAGACTTGAAAACTAAAGAGAATAGAGTCACTCCTTAATGCACTCGCTATCTATAGTGCTATCAAATTAACTCAGCCTGGAGCATAGCTAGAGATAGAGCTTGGTAGCACTCAGTTTTTATCAGTCTGCTTATTTTAGACAAGCCCAGTACTGGTCTGAGCTGACATAGCCTCTAGTTTCCGTAACCATGTGGATAACGGAAAGATATTTCACATGGCTCAATGAGATAGGTGTTCTATCAAACTTTATTAGAATTTTCTAACATTTTTGAGGTGAAAACAAGGGAGGCTTTGGTGGGGAAAAGAAATAATTCAGATATTTTGCTGGGATCTAGTGATTCTCTGGCATCAGATAGAATGATTAAACAGTGTTTGTGCTTTCTGAGGAAATGAAGGGAGCTGAGTAATCTACTAGTTCCCTTGCCCTGTCGTTCTGGGAGAATCGTCCTTTTGGAAACACTCCATCAGTTACATCGAGCCATGCTAAATGCCCTGTTCATTTTTGTTTCTCATATAAGTACTCTTTTTCTTTGTGCTACATGGAATAAAATTATAATAGGTTAATCAGTAACTAATTATTCCAGCAGCAGCTGAACAGTTTCTCATGTGTTCCTAGCTGTAAGTAATCTAAAATCTGTATTTTGCTTTTATGTAGGTACTGATATATTTCATATTACTGAGTCTTCCAGCAACAAATGAAGAATATGTATCTGTTCCTCCTTTCCATTTTATGTTTACTTTTGAAAGCCACTGGCACCAAAGAGGTTATATTTGGGCATAATAATTTCACAGAATATCAAGTGGGCAACATGAACCTGATTCTCTCTGTCCCACACGGTGGGTCAATGGAACCCGAAGACATCCCTGATCGAGAGGCTGGATGTTGGGATGCAAAGTCATCCTCTTGTGTTTTCTCTCATGAGTGTCCTTCTGGAAGTATTCAAAATTATAAGACATGCAAAGTGTCTACCAACCAAGACAGGTATACTATAGAGGTGGCTCAGGCTCTTGCTGAAGAAATCAACAAAATTACTGATGGCTTCTTCCCACATATTGTTATAAATCACCTACAGAGGTTCAAGATGGATGCTAACAGGGAAAAGGAAGAAGCCTCCTTTGGAGTTCCCCAAGCAGAACAGGCCTGGGAGGAGTATATGGGATTTTTGACCACTGCAAAATCGCAGATGACCGGCGGCTTGATTCTGGATATCCATGGACAAGCACATCCTGAACAGTGGATAGAACTAGGTTACACACTTTCAAAAACCTCCCTTAACTCAGGCGTCTATTCTGCATCATATTCCTCAATTAGCCATCTGGCCAGTCAGGTAGTTAATGTGTCTTCTGAGACTTTGGTTGCAGGGAACAGAAGTTTGGGTAAATATATTGAAGAGCAAAATAACAGTTATGTTTGTGTGCCTTCTCCATCCAATCCTAGCCCAAATAACGGGAGCTATTATAGTGGTGGATACATAACAAAGAATTTTGGTTCTCGTAGTTCTGGCACCGTTGATGCCATCCAGCTTGAACTACCTCAGTGGGTGAGGGCAGCTGAAGAACGTCCTGGATTTTGTAAAGCACTGGCAAAGGCTGTAATGAAATTCTGGGAAGCTAACTACTGCAGCCAGTACAACCATGAATTTCTGCCATGCTGAAAGATCTGTCTTGTTAAGATATCTTTCCATAATACAGTAATGATCTCCAACAACAGAACAACTGATACACCTGGAACATTTAAGCCTGCAATATAATTGTGGATGCTGGTGGAAAGAAACTAACGTGCAGTGGAATACAGAGACATCGACAGAAAAAATCCACAGCTAGTACCAACAAGTCTGTTAACACACAGCTTTGTACTAGATCCAGCATTGAAAAGACTACTTGAAGATGAGTGGGTATATTTGGAAGTATTACTTGCCTGGTACGCTTTTCTGTGCTTAATTTCTTTACAGTAGCATTCTCTGCTCTCCAGCACACAATAAACAACTGGTTTTCTTCTAATGAATTCCGTGCAGTGCAGTGCCTTAGTAGATTATCTGTTCAAAGAAATGAACCGTCTCTGCTTTTCTTGTGACACTTAAGAAATTGGGTAGTATCATTGTGTAAAACTGAGACTGGGACCAGTTTCCATTTAGTGTTTATAAAGCCCTAGGAGTTGGAGCTCTTCAAGTAAACAATAACGCTGAGCAATGAATGCAGTCTGAACTACTTCAGGATTTGTTGATTTAGTGAATTATGGAAAAAAAATTCTGAGACCATTGTAGCACTGTAATTTTGTCACAATTTAAATAGCACAACAGTAAGTTAGTAAGTGAATGTAAGGCTGCTAAAGGTAACGCATATATATCATGCGTTTTTGACAGTTTTCCTCACAGCATGGTTTTCTTCTGAGAGCTGGACCATTGGTTGCATTCAGCATAGGATTAAACACTTGATTGTTACTGGAAATAGTGTTACGTTATATATTGGCTCTCCTGCATGGTGGAGAATATAGTGGCATGAATAGACATGAGTACAAATCAGCTCTTGGAAAACACGGATAATCAATAAGGAAAACCAAAAGGAGCAGGCAGCAAGACTAAAAATAATAAAATTCAAAAATGAAGAACCTGGGAAATCCTAGCAGTGCTAAAGGTTTGGTAAAAAGAAAAGAATGAGTAACTATTCAGTTCTGAGCAAACAGTCAGTTCTGAGGAAGTAAATAGTTAATAAACTGAAGAGAAGTGGGATGTCTGCAGCTTGCAACCACAGTAAAATACTTCAACTATAAATAGGGACAATACCGAAGAGAAAATCTTACATGATTATAAAACGTAACACGTAAGAGCATCAAAAGAAATGGGTAAGAAACTCTCTGAGCCTGAACTGTTCATTTTTTTTTTTTAGTCTTTGAAGACGAGGCAATTTTCAGGTAACTAGAAAAGAGCTGATTTAGCTGTCTTTCAAAGGCAAATAGGGAACTGCTGAGGTGTTATCTTCCATACGCTAACTGCTAAATCATGGAGTGGATGAAGTGGACACAAATAGTAAATGGCAGATTACACTTTATCTGGTGCCATTTGGTTTGTCAGATATGCTTGATTTTAGTTTTAATCACAAGGTTGGTTAATGTGGTGGATTGACCCTGGCAGACACTAAGCACTCACCCATTGCTTGTTTACTTCTCCCAGTAGTGGAAAGGGGGAGAGATCTGGAAGAGCAAAAGCAAGAAAAGTCATGGGTTGAGATAAAGACAGCTTAAGAGTTGAAGCAAAGCTGCTTGTGCAAGCAAAGCAAAATAAGGAATTCATCCACTACTTCCCATCAGCAGGCAGATGTTTAGCTGCTTCCTGGGAAGCAGGTCCTCAGCACGAATAGTGGTTACTTGGGAAGACAAACACCAGGAACATCTTGCTTTCCTCATCCATTACATGAGCTCTTATTGCTGAACAGGACATTATATGGTATGGAGTATCTCTGGTCAGTTCAGGTCAGCCATGCAGCCGTGTTTTCTCCCAGCTTCTTGTGCACCTCCAGGCTACTCGCTGGGAGTGGGAAAAAACCACCTTGATGTCATGCAGGCATTGCTCAGCAATAGCCAAAACACTGATGTGTTAACAACACTCTTGAGTCACAAATCCCAAACACAGCACCATACAGGCTGCTAGGAAGAAAATTAGGTTCATCACAGCCAGACCCAGTACAGTTGATCATAATATTTTTAAATATACTCCCACAAGATATTTTGCTAAAAATTAAACAGTATTACCTGCAACTCCATCATAGCCCTATAAAAAATTGAAGACAGGTAAATCATTGCAAGTCATTGTATACTCAGCTCATCAGAAGACAGTCTTTCCAAGAAGGCTAGCAGATCAAACACCATTCATTCCTAGAAATATAGAAAACCCACTATTTTCCCTGAAATAGTAGGTAATAATGACACTAGTTACATGGATTATCCTAAATACTCACCAAGGTGACACACTTGGCACGGCTTTGTAATTTCAGCCAGACAAAAGGTGATAGAATATGTATTCCATGACCTGTGTCATGTTGTGACACTGTCCTGGAATGTTGAAATGCCAGGAAGGATTCAGGGAGTCATGACAGATAATTAATTGAATATGAGCTCAGCATGCACTTTTCTGGCTTAGAGGATGAACATGCTCTTTGAAAGCATAAGCAAGGAACTAATAGACAGAAACAGTGGGTCATATTAACTCCTCCTTGCGTATCTGATGCTCATAAGATTGTGAGTATAAGATGGAGTTCTGAGACGCACTCAAAAAAATAAAAGACAACCATCGTGATGGGAAGAGATAAAAAGGCTACAGAAATCTTCCTTGTAGTGAGAGACTCACAAAGATTAAGTTACAGTTAACTTTGCTATCAAGAGTAATTAAGAGGCTGATAGAATCTGCGTGAAGGAAAACACTGTGTTTTGCTTCTGCCTTCAAAACAGCTCACAGAGTGTGAGGTGTAATTTCTCTGTATCATGCTCCCCCGAGTTTCTATTCCATAGGGGCTTTTTGGGAGAACAGAACCAGAGCCCCTGGGGAGCATCTGCATGGATACTGCAGCCAGACCTGCGCAGGACCTGTTGGAGCTGACAGGGCTTATTAGTTCAAACTGAGCGCCATATTAGTGTAACACGGTGCTTCCAGAACCGAGCCGGCTCCTGAAGCTGCAACGTGCTGCCCCTCAGCTGAAATGCCCAGACTGCTCCTTACTCTCAGCTCAGACAAGCTGACTGAATCATGGAAAGCAGGCACTGACTTCTTTCTTTATGATGAACAATCTTTGGAAACGATTTTTGATGGCTGATGAATCTTAATCTGGCAGAAAATAAGCAGCATAGTACCCAATGCATGAAAGTCTAAACTGGACAAATTCAGAGCAGAGAGGAAACGTGGTTTTGACATGGAGAATAACTGGCAGTGAATGTACATTAAGAAAATGGTAAGATGGTAGACGTAGACTAGATAAAAGGAAGACATTTTTTACAATGAGAGAGATGAAACACTGGAACAGGTTGCCCAGAGAGGTGGTAGATGCCCCATCCCTGGAAACATTCAAGGTCAGGTTGGATGGTGCTCTGAGCAACCTGATTTAGTTGAAGATGTCCTTGCTCATTGCAGGGGTGTTGGACTAGGTGACCTTTAAAGGTCTCTTCCAACTCAAACCATTCTATGTTTCCATGATTCTTTGAACTGACTGGCAAGACAGGGCAATAATCAGTGGAGAATTGTGTTCAACTCACCTTGTAATCCCTTCACCCAAGGTATACAGAGAAAAGTACCTGGTCACATGGAGCAATACTGCCTTTTACTGACTACTGTTTGGACATTAGGTGGCCACATTAGGATATCAGATTGTGGTTCATAGGAGGCTCACAGTACCACAAATTGTAGGAGAGTATGTTAAGAGTTCATACCCCTCCCTACCTGTTGGCCACTAACATTTGAGGAAGAATGATCAGAAAGGTGTTAATGGAAGCTTTTTTTAGCATGTGGCCATAGGATTTATATCTTTTTTTCTTTTCTACTACAACTGCAAGAGAAGTTGTTTTATCTGTTCCCATGATTTTCAAGGGCTAAGCCAGGTAAAGATGGAGGAGCTCCACCATTATTCAATTAGAGTTGTAGAAAGTATTTATAACGATGTCTAAAAACTAACTCAAAACTCTCCTGGTTTCTGGTGTCATGGGAACTCTGAAAGAACTATTGGCCTTCCTTCAGGTAAACTTAAAATATATAGGATGTCTGTTGGAGCACGTTAAAATTCTAAGCTTTTTTAATGCTGTTAAACCAAACAAGTGAATCAGTGTGTGCTACCTTCTAAATTGGAATTTGGAAGTGTGCAATAATTGGAATGAAAACCAGAGAGGTTTCTTTGATTCCTCCACTTACGCATTTTTCTTCTAGCTTGTTAATTGAATGAGAGGGATATGTAGGGTTACTTATGGCTAATTTCTAAATGAGAAATACAATTGCATTTCCTATATGCTGCGAAGAACAGAAACAAATTTGTCACATACATTAACTACCTTTGGAGAAGCCAGAGCTTTGAAAAACTTCAAGTCTTGAATTATGTCTACGTGTTTAGGCTTTTTAAAAACTGAATGTGATCTGGTCAGTGACTTCCACCTCTACACACAAAACAGAAAAAATCTGATGCTTCTATCAAAATGGAAATTTTGAATGCAACATTCTTAGCTGGCTCCAAAATAAAATTATTTTGAAGTATAAATTATTCCATATATCTTCAAAATATAATTCATATTAGGACCTTCATAGGCGTCATGAAGTGATTCACTAACAGTTTGTCAATCCGGAATCTGGCTTGTCATCTTTAGGAGGCTGAAAATGTTAACATAAAAGACACTAGTTACCACAACTGAGTGCTAACTTGCTGTCTGATGGTGGCTTTTCAGCATTTCTGTCAGTTCTAACTACAATTCCTGTATGCCACTTTCATAACAAAGAAAGAAGATTTTCTCTACTCACATATTTGGTTTCCAAAGTTAATCACAAGAAGACATTATCTAGAGTATCTGTTAGTGTAGATTAACACAGTTTCATTTATAATCAGAAAAAATAAGTCAGATCATGCTACAGAGAGAAATTGAGACTATTCCTCTATATGAGTCTATCTACCTGCTGACCTTTTTCAATAGATCACCTGAGCCACTTATTTAAAATGTAAGCACCTATGCTATTCAGCTGCATTTGTAGCTTTTCGGGTATACGCACATTTGGAGAATATCCGTATATTGGTCAATTTGGGCCTCAATCCTAAATCTAAGATCAAATCCTAAACTAGGAGTTGTGGGTCCTTTGCTTTGGCTGTGCCCCCTCCCAGCTTCTTGTGCACCGACACACTAGCAAAACATGAGAAGTTCAAAAAGTCCTTGATATCTTAGCAACAACTAAGAACATCAGCATGTTATCAACATTATTCTCATATCAAATCCCATATTAAATCCAAAACACAGTGCTATTGCAGCTACTATGAAGAAAACTAACTCTATCCCAGCCTAAACCAGGACATAAGCAAATTGTGACAGCATCATGAAGATAACAGACTTGACCCGAGAGAAGCTCCTATAGCCTGTAAAGGGTAAAACCTAGCATTGATAAGTAACACAACCTTTTGGCTGACAGTTGGCTAGCTATCCATTATACTATTTGATACAATTAATCCAGAGGAATCAAGTTACTCTTGACATGACAGCACACAGAGTATATGGAATGATAAGACTGAAACTCTATTGCGCAGCGTGTGGCTGCTTTTTTTTTTTTTTTAGTTCTCTGCACAGTTAAGCAGGCTTCTCATTTGCTTCCAGTCTGTTTAATTAATGTGTTTTAAATTTATGATAGCCATTCTCCTTTATGGAAATATTTGAAAGATCTTCAAAAAGTAGTCACAGTTTGACACAAGCATGTCATTTATGGAAAGTTTCTTTAAGGTTAGATGGCTTAATTTTACTATCTTTGATTCCAGAAGTTTCAAACTGGCTGCTGACTGTCCAAAAGGATTACAGGGGTTAGTTCTTCAAACACAGCCACACACTTCTCTATGCTGATGAGTTACTGCTCTGACTTCAGTGGAACTACTCACTTTAGTAAGAAAGAACTCTATGGAATAGTAAGTGTTAGCAGGATACCAATGTAAATGGGATAACAGTAAAGTACCTTAGAGATTTCCCGTTGCCCCAAAGTGCTTTGGTTAAAAGGCAGCCCAAGAATACACATGGTATGAAACCTTACCAGCCTGCATGACTTTAAGCCCTGAAGTAATTTTTCCCAGATTTGGATGCTTTGTTACTAAAGGCAATGTGCATGTTGCTTCTGAAGATTAATGCTTCAATATTTATGTTCGTTTGGTCAATCCACTAGTTAATGAACCAGAGAGCTCCACAACTAGAAATACAACTTAAGCTAGAAGGCCAAGGCTCTCTGGCTTGTCTTGTAACTAACCCACATCACTTGACAACTCTACTTAGAAGAACTATTGAACATCCAACATTTATGCCAGTGTCAGAACGTCATGATCAGAGGTATGTGAATGTATCCATAATATCCCAGCAAATTTAAGAAGACCATTTTTTTAAACTGAAATATTAAATTTGTTTTATTCTGACAGAAAGATTTGAGTTTGGGTTGAAACTATTTACAATCAGCTTTTTCAATAATTTTTTGAGGGATTTCAGAAGTTTATCAGCTTATGGAACTGAAAAGGAAACAGGCTGCTAACCTGAACAGTGTACACAACATGCAAACTCTAATTAGGCTAGAATCTGAGACAATTATCATCACTATTATTGAATTCAAGTCCTGAGCATCACCTAATCCTGACTGCCACCTAGTCATAGCAATTAAGAGATTTATCCGTACTGTGTAAAAACATTTTTTAAAAGGATTTTTCTAAATAACTCATAGGAGATACTAATATTTTTTTCTGACCTTCAGGTGAAAGGTTCTTTTTAAGTATATTTTCAGAAGTATTCCCCCAATCATACATATATGTGAATGTATGAGATCTTACTTGTCCCTGCACAGCATTAAAGGATATTCAAACTTCTTCTTTTCCGTATGCTTGCTTTCTTCTTCCATTATCATAGGAAAGTTATTCACATCACGAGACGAAATCAACCAACTGATGTCTGATAATTCAAACTTCCTAGGTTGTCTGAAGTAACCAAGATAGTGCTCATTCATGGCATGCCAGAGCCTACAGACATAGTAGAAGCAGTGCCAAAAGACAGAAAGGAAAAATGGATACTTGTAGAAGTGGAACAAAAGTGACAAAATATCTGTCTACATTATCAAGTTCTGCAGCACTGTACTAGAGTTCGGTATGCTAGGCATAAAAATAAAATAAGTGAGATTGAAGTTCAATGTTTATGATGTAAGTAATGAGAGTAAAAAATTCTCAGAAGGATGTTGTAAAAATCAGAAAACAAGCAATTAATCTTTGTAATTACAAAACTGAAGAGTAAAGGCACCAATACCCTGAACTGCTGGCACCAGAGCAGGATCCACACAAAATTTCTTTGTTAATTCCCCCTGAAAACCAAAAGAAACCTCTTAAAATGTACTTGTTAGCCAAGAAAGAATGACAGTTATCTATAAAGCATCTTCTGAGTGCAATGATTTAGTTGCATAAGCATTGGTTAGATGCAATGCTTAGGACCCATGTCAATTTAGCAAGTATTGAAAGCTAAAATAAGATTAGAATAGGAGGTCGTTTCTAAAATAATGGACCTATTACCTATCCATTCAAGGTCACCTTGCTGAAAGAAAACAGTCTGCAAAAGATCTGGTTTGTGAGAAAATTGTAAGGGATATATTTAAAAAAATAATTCAAGTGAACATTCAGAACAACAAATGCACCCAATGTTGTATTTTATTCAAGTTCTAGCCTATATTGAAGTCCAGCAAAAAGAGGAACTTTGAGGACAGTTCAACTGATTTGCCATAGCAGTAAGAAGTATTAGTCATTTTTGTACCTGACTGAACTATCAATGGATGCTGTCACTACCATATTTTTCTCCTCTTCATGAAATAAGTCAACCACTTCGTTAAAGTGTGCCCTCCAGCAGAGATCCTCCTGTATTTGCTATGGGAAAAAAGCAACAAAACCACATTTCAGGCAGTTCTGTATGCCACCATGGTTGCTAGCTTAGTGAATTCGTCAGCATGGCTTTCCGAAAATTAAAAGCGGTGAAAAAACCATCCCTCTATGAAGCAGCCTGCAAATGGCATATGATAGAAACATCACTCAGGGGACATGGATAAATTCATTCTTAACATAGCCTCTTTGAACACAATGAAGTAATGCTAACAGCATTTTACTTATGTTTTTCTTGTTTTTCACAGCATCAAGTTATTATTTCAAGCAAAAGACATGACCTTCATGTGCAGGAAATTTTTTTAGTTGCCATAGAGCTCTGAATCCGTTTTTCTCTGTTTGTCTTCTCTTGGTATACTGTTCAAGTTAAGAAAATCTGTCAGATTTTTCCATATATTTTTACTATTTTGTGGATCTTCTAAGAATGAGTCAATGCTCCAGCACATAATATGTCCCTCTGTTTAAGAAAAGAAAAAGCAAAGCATCAATTAATTTCATTAGTGCTACACATTCACTAGTTGCTACCATATGGTCTTGGGAGGACACTGGGCAGAAAGAAGTAGAGATTACAGGTCATTAAAAGTTATTTTAAGGTGACTGACACTATCTCATTGTCAAGTACAGAGTAGAAAATAATGGATCATTCATTAATATGGAAAGAAATATGTGTACTCTTTGTGAGCAAGGTGTCATTAACTGGATAGGTTTGAAATGGGAAGAACATAAAGTTTTTTCTTTAAGTGACATGAGTGAAAAATAAGAATAATCGTGTCAACACAGTTATCTGTTACACAAACTAGGTGTGAGAGCTTCCTGGGGATTAAACTGTTTTTCAATCCTGGTAAAATGGACAAAGTTTGATTAATTGCATACAAAATGAAAGCCTAATGCTTTACAACCTTTTAGCACACTGATGTGAAGCTAGAATCAAAGAATTATTTTCCTTATGACCCACAACTGCTCAGTTTCCTGCCTCGGCTCCCTCTTTCCTGATGAATTTCCCTCTATCTCTCATTTCTGCTACTAGACAGAGGAGTCTTTCATGTAATTCCAACCTTTGTACTGGTCATTTCTGGTTTCTAGGGCTGTACATTTGCAGACAAGCAAGGAGGCTGACAGAGAAGTTGACCTTTTCCTAACAAGGAAAAATCTGTAATGGGAACAAGAAATTGGTAGTAGCACTGCAGATAAAAGAGAAGGGTGTGGAAAGCATGAAAAGGAAATACACCGTGACTCAAACCCAAAAGGACAAAGGGAGAGTATCAGATGAAGAGGTAATACGGCAGATACTTTTCCACAACTAATTAAAATCCTGTTCAGTGCATGCTGCCTTCTTGAACTCATTTACTGATTTGAATCAATGGGGAGTGGAAACTCCTCTTCATTTTCAGTATTAATGTCAAGCTACTGCTCAGTTTTGAAACAAATGGAAAAAAAAAAAACCTTGCTCCATCCAAGTTCTGACTGTGTAAGAGTAAGAAATTGGCAGGAAACAGTTCTAATAGATATTTTGGAAGAAAAGTGACACATTAAAGGACAAAAATCTCATATGACAGATGCAGAAGAGGAAGATTGCCAGGGTGATTCTAAAGGTTTGGAAGAGAATCAGACAGTGGATAAACTCTTGCACTTTCTGCCAAATGAGAGCTAGATTTGGTGTGAAATTAAAAGTCTAACAATCAGCTGCTAGCACAGGCTACAAGTGCTTTTCTTCATTATATAGCAGTGTACTGCTGAGGCCATTACTGTGCACTCCATATCACTGCCTGAATCACGGCTTTTGGTACAGCCAAAGCTGCAGTTTTTTATTTAGTTTTATTACCTTGAATGTGAATTTTTTGCTTGTTTTTAGCAGTAATCTTTCCCTTTGGTATTAATACAGTAATTCAGATGAAAAGTATATGCAGGGCTTGTGAATAAAGAAAATTGTAATGTCCTTCACAAAAACAATTCTACTGATAATGCTATTAATGTAATCATAGAATCATAGAATCATAGAATGGTTTGGGTTGGAAGGGATGCTAAGCTTTAATCTACCATCCTTTCATACCAGAAACTACCTTTTTCAATTATTTCATTATAGCTTTGATGGAGAAAGTCAAGCAGCATTTGGACCTTCATTTCCATATTTCTGGGACATTTACAACATGATATTTTGTGGTCCTACAAACTGTCCTGAACGAAATGACTAACATGTTTACTCACCCTTACTGCCTGCCAAAAGCATTTTAGTGGAGATGTCTGTACATAGTGCTGTCAGAACTGAAGGATATTTTGAAAATGGCAAAAGATCTTCCACTAGGTTTCCCTAAAATAAAGAAATAAACAAAGACATATTTCTCTTTATAATACCTATATGAAAAAAAAATCAGTGCATCAGAAGTTGAGTGCCATTGATTTGATATATTTAGTGTTACTTAGCTCGTATCTATTGAGAAAGCAGCTAAAAAGGTAGTGTCCTAATCTACTGAATGACCAGCTATGCTGGGATGTATTCTTCTTCTGGTTACCATCTCTACATCAAAAGAACAAGCTATTTCACTCTTCAGGCAATTCATAGTCTATCTGTACCTACTCCTACTTTACCACTTATCTCTTATTTGCTTTGGAATGTCATCAGTATGCATCTCATTTGCTACTGAAATACCGTTTCTTGCTGCAAATGGACCCATAATGTCTCCTTCACCAATTTGTTGTATTTTTCAAGCAAGCATTAGTAGACTTTCTCCCTTACTGTCTCTTCAGGTTTGAAAGGAGGTGAGGGAGAAGGTCTTGCTCATAAGGAGAATCTTGACTGTGTCATCCATGTAACGATGATGATAATCATGTTAGTGATGACATCACCGCCATCTGAACTTGAAGATTCCTACAGGAATCTAAGCACATTAATATATCAAGAAAACCCAACAAAGCCATCTACTGTACTTTGGGACATTTAACATCATATTCTATTTTTTGCATAAAACATCTGCAAAGATACCTCACCATCTGTCTGAAAAATTCTCACTATGACTTGCCTTTGCTGGAATTCTTGTTAAAGCCTTACATGGTTGATGTACTGTGATCGCTGTTTGCCACAATCTTATAGCAGCCTTCCAACACCTAAAGGGATCCTACAAGAAAGATGGGGAGTGGCTTTTTACAAAGGCATGTAGTGATAGGACAAGGGGTAATGCCTTTAAACTGAAAGAGGGTACATTTCGATTAGATCTAAGGAAGAAATTCTTCCCTCTGAGGGTGGTGAGGCACTGGAACAGGTTGCCCAGAGAAGCTGTGGATGCCCAGTCTTTGGAAGTGTTCAAGGCCAGATTGGATGAGGCTTTAAGCAACCTGGTGTAATGGAAGGTGTCCCTGCCCCTGGCAGGGTGTTGGAACTAGAGGATCTTTAAGATCCATTCCAACCCAAACCATTGTATGATTCTTTCTGCATTTACTTTTTATCTGGTGTTTAGACTAACGTATTTTCTGGAACAGTCTCTCATAGGTCCGAGGTGATATGACAACTAAGCCATTGGCATTCTGTTGCATGACTGTCTTTACAGGCTGATTATAGCTGTAGACGCTATGTATTGGGATACTGTTCTGTCCTGATTTGTAACCCTACTAGTGCTAGCTGGATTTTGCAATGTTCCAGATATATTTCTCCTCTTCTGAGAGTAGGACACTCTGCCTTGCCTATCCTCCTTTCTTAGAAAGTAGATGATGTGGGTGAAAAATCAACTTCTAGACTTTGATATAAGTTTACAGTCAGTTTTTGTTACAGTTATTTCAAATCATGTTTTTTCATTTTCCACTTGCCATTATTTTCTGCTACAGTTATTAAAACAGAACTAATTTATGTCTGTGGAAGAAACTTTTAGCCAAAAAATGCAATAAAACATCTGCTGCTGCATTTGCTAGTTAAAAAGCATGTTTCCAATGATTACCTTCTCAATGGTCCAGTCCCATCCCAAAGACTTTCAGATAGCTACCTGAATACTCCATAGGCAAATACAGCCATTTTTGTGAGCAGAAGCCTGAGTGAGTGTTGTACTACAGCTTTGGATAAATGTACATTAATCTACAAGTATTGGATATTCTTATACTTAATTGTGTCTTCTGCTTTGGAACACAAATGATCATACCTTTTCTCAAGAATTTTTAGTAATGCTTTTGAATGTACAGAAATTACATAACACTAGAAAAAAGTAAATTTGAAAATAAACTCCATCATCAAGATGACATTACTCTGAAAAGATTACAGATATGGATAAAGACAACTGAAAAGAAATTAGAACAATCTTCATCATCTTATCTAAACCAGCCAGGACTAATGCTCCATGATGCAGGGGAACCTTGCTTAGAGTGTAGCAACAGATTTCACAGAAAATGCAAGCACTAGTGAGAGTGGAGGAGGAATGCAAGACAGTTGTCATCAGGACAACTGAGAGTCAGTTCTGCAGCCTCTGCATGAGGCTTCTAGAGATTACTAATAATTCAGCAATGAAATGAAGTTTAATTACTAAATGATACTTAATATTGGAATCACAGATTTCTATACTTCTCAAATTCAAAACTTTTGCTAAATGCAAGGTGGTGGTTACAGAGAACCTTTTTTTTGGGTTCCTGCTGTGACTTCCCCAGAGCTAGAGATGCTGGGGAGTCCCATGAAGGTCCTCAGTGAAATAGACATTCAGTGGATGCAGGACCTGACGTGAGTGTCCATTTCACTGAGCAGCTACAAGGCCTAGGAATATTCTAGTTTCAGGGCATGTTTTCTTTGCCAAATAAATTCAACTTAAGTCCACATTTCAGATGATCAAATTTCTTCTTATTGGGAAAGTCTGCTTCCCAGCAGAGGATGTCTAAAGGATTCAGAAGAATGTAGAGGATTTTTTTCTTGCAAATTCATCAACTCTGCTTGCACAGCTTTAACTCTTAAGCACTTAGCTCTCTATTGTTTCTGTTGTTTTAAGGATATATACTATAGGGAAGATTTTTTCTTCTAAAATTCCATCTGCTTGTGAAGATTTTCTCTGTGAGGCCATTCACTCATATTTGACTCAATTTGGCTCTTGCTATACCATTTCAATAATTCATTGCTGACATATTTATGTGGAAGAAAAGTGTCTATAGTTGACATTCCCCAATTCTGCAAAGTTTTTAGCCTCATGCCTATTTAGAAAAATCAGCCATTAAGCTCTTGCATATTCTTTATCCTGGCCTGGCTTTTGGGAAATAACTGCAAATCAGGGGTGAGCAAAAGACGTTTAGGTATGTCATCCACATGCCAATGATATCTCAAGTATTCTAAACAGTTTGCCAGACAAACTGACAAACTCAGTTTCTATGCTAATCTAGACAGAACTTATGGATCAACAACAAAGAGAATGAAAAACATCTTTCCATACCTGTTGTTATTTGAGTATTAATTTCATCATTTCTTACATTTTCCTAAAAGCAAGGAATAAACCATAACAGAATTAGAAAATGGAACTTGGGTGTATCTACAGAACAGTTCACTCGTTGAAATCATTGTAAGAACTTATGGGTTTTTTTTTTTAAGGATGCAAATATTCCCTCAATTTCCATTCAATCTGAGACAGCACTGAGTGAGAACAAGAAACATTTCATCTGAAGAGAATCAAAATCACAGATGAACAAATCAAAAAAAGAAATTAATTGGCATTTAGGACCATGTTAAATGCAAATTTGACTGAATGGAATTAATTTCTTAGAACAGGCAATGTTGATCACTTACAGTCATGTGAACGTAACCTAGATCTCTTTCTTAGGGAGTTTAATTCAGAACATGCATATAGTCTTGTTACTGCCTTGAGCCAAGATCAACAAAGTACGTAAACAGAAGTACACATTTACTCACAGCTGCATCTTCAGTATGAGAATTGTCACAGTCCTTCATTTGTGCCTCACTATATAAGCTTCTGAAGATCCCCAGGGCTGACAGTAATCAGTATACTGGCCTCAAAAATTGCCAAGACAAATAAGGCAGGAAAAACTATGCAGCCACAGGTGTTTGAGGTATCTTAGAAGAGGAAAAGCCACTTCAGTCTCATCCTACCTATTGATCTGTAAAGCTTGATGTGTTGGGCTTTTGAGGATCTATATAATTGCTGCAAATGGTGGTCTATTTTGTTATTCTAATGATTACATAAACCAGATATTGTATTCTTTAGTTTGCAGATGACAGGCCTGTGTCTGCTCAAGAACCTGTGAAAATGCCATGCTCTACCGAAACAATATGCTGGAAAGAATCTGAGAGGTAGCAGGATTTTCCTCTTTTTGCCTACTTGCTATTTTTTGCTCTGCAGGTATTGACATGTTCTTCTGGCATAAAAGGACAAAAAGCATGACAAAAATCATAATACTATCCTTAGCAAAAATACCCAGATTAAGACACTGACATCTTGATGGTAAATTAAAAAAAACTTCTCACACTGTCATTTGAAAGCAATATATCCAAGCAAGTGTGGCTGCAGTGTAGATGTGGTTCCGCTTTTATTCAAGTACTTTATGATCTATCTATTTGACCTCCCTTTTGAGTTCTTCTATACCCCCTTTTGAAAGTCAGAATTGCTAGTGATAAGTATCTGGCAAACACTGATAGTCAGCTATTCCACGTATCACACAGCAAGCTGCCTGACAGAATGTATTCTTAATTCCCCACCTCATTCAGCTTAAGTGAACAAAGTTCATTTCTCTGTAATTCTTGATATTTAGTTTTGTGCATGACTTTATGGAGGGATTTTAGTAATTTACAGGATTTTAAAACCAAAATGAAAATGATAACAGAAATTTGTTTTGAATGCTGCCAAATCCATGAAGCCACTATACCTACCTTGTGTAGGTTCAAAGAACTGCTCTTGTTCTCTGGAATAGCACTGATATCGCTCCTAGGAGTAGCAGTAGTAGAGGACGGGGAACTAGTTTTCCTGTGGGAAAGAAATTACTGGAGATCACTGACATTCTTGAAGATACTGTTTGCTATCTGGAAATCATCATCCAGTGTAATCAAGCATAATAAAATAGTGGCTGAATTGATTAGACTGATTAGACTAAGGGTTTGTTCCCTTTCATTTTACGCAGCAGTTTGCTCTGCAAATAGTTTTCAATTAATTATAGAATTTCAATCTGTTAAGATAATGATCAGAAGTGGGATTCTGTGGAAGAAACACAGGAAAAATTATGGAGGCGATATTCAATGTTTGTGTTTCTGAGTCAAGAAAAGCTCTGACTGTGCTAGTGAGAGTTTCTGGCCACATAACTTACACCAATGTCACAGCTGCTCTGTTTTTGACAAGAGTATCTGAATAACTGGGATAGTGTAAAACACATACAGAAAATATGCAGTTGGGGTAGCCCACTGAAATTCGGACAGGTGGCCATGACTTTGTGATTTTTTAGTGTTCAATTTTACAAACTTACTACCGCTCTTGAACATTGTGTGTGTACATATGATCACAGTCAAATTCATGCAGGTACCTTCCCAGTACGTACAAAACATTCTAAGCCTATATGATTCAAAGACACCATAGGATTCTCCTTCTTAACCATAATCAGAACTTTTCTTGATTTATAAAAAATTCTATTTGTGAATTGCAATCACCACATTTTAATTTAGCTAGGATTTATTAAATTAATAATTAAGGTATAATGTCACAAAGCAAATTTATGTTCAATTAAGTGGCACTGGCTCGTTTAGAGGTGTAGTAAATGCAAAAGCTACTTGAAGGTTTTAAAGCAACATAAGACCACAAACCATCCCCATGACTCAGGAGAGCAAAAAAGCTGCCTAACTGCTTAAGACCTTAAAGCCATATAAGTGTTTAAACCATACTAAGTCCTTTTGGCTACCATTGCTTTTGCATATCCATTGGAAGACATGCAGTTCTGAAGTTATGTATATGTGCAATGCCTTTCTCTCAAAATGAGCATGTTTGACTAAAATTTTGTTCTTCATTCAACACTACCAACCTACACTAGCTTTGAGTTTGTTTTAAGATGAAACTTGAGGCTGCACACTTCAATGACCTTGCCTCTCTCTTTGCTGAGAGTATCTAATACTGTGAGGACCGTTTCAGGTTTAAAATACAGAAAAAGCATGCTGCCAGACAGAGTTATCTCACAGAGATAAGAATCAAAGGTACAGTACAGAGGAAAACTCAGACCTGACAAAATCGTACTTCTGTTGAATTCGTCAACAGAATTGAGACATATGAGGTCATTTAGAGAACTAAAGGATAGCCTGGTGGAGTGGTAAAAACAGATCATATAATATGGATTGATAAGCATTACACGATTTTAAGGATGAGAAAGCTAATTAACTGTTAGATCTTGAATTGATTAAATGCAAAGAAAATCTCAAATCATCTATCTTAGACAAACATTACATCAGTTTGCTACAACGAAATTCCAAATGAGTATGCCTGTCTTGAGGGAAGATAAAATGCACACAGTTACCTGGAAAAGAAAGTGCTGTGTACAAGGAATAACATGTCATTGCATCCAGATGCTTGAAGAACTGAAGCTTGGCTGTCTTCGTTAATTTTACACCTGAAAATAAAGATGTTTGTACAGAATATGTCTGATAGGTCCCGTATTGTTCCCAGAAAAAATTGCAGACTTTATTTGTAATCTAAAAAAAATAAAATTTCATTTCCCAGAATGCATGTCACCTAAAAGTTTTAGACAGAGTTCAGTTAATCAGTTATGATGGATTAATGTCAGTGAAGAGTACGTACAGAATGTGCCTGTGCCAGGAAAACCAGGAACCTGATGGTATGATGAACATTTCATTCAGCCAAGTATTTTCTTGAGAATTAGTATTAGTAAATAGCCAAGTTAATGTTAGAAAAGTACCTTGTTCCTGGCATTCAAACCAGTCCCTGGGTAAAATACTCTACTTACAAAGCATTGACTTTCCTGTCTTCCATGCATCCACATGAATTGGCTCCCTCATATATGGGGAGGCAAAAGCAAAGGAAGAGACAGAGTCAGAACTGCAGTCAAGTTTTGGTTATTTCCCATGGTACAGAAAAATTCAGCTCACTTTCTCACAAACATGCCAATTGTACACGTGAAGGATGCTGTTTAACTATTGGGTAGGATAGTTAAATATTGACTTTGTATGGTCTTAAAAGGCATGTATTCCATCACCAACACAGAAATATTGTTGTGCTGCTCCACTCAGTCTAAACAGTCATGTTGTCATTGTTCACTTTCTGATGTAGCAGCTTAATTCACATGAGAATACTTGAAACCATCCTATGCTCACTTTTTGTCACTTTCTGTGAACAATATTTACTTCAAAACCTCTGAAATCACTTCAGATTTCTCCTTGTTGAATGTGACTTCTAGTCTTCTAGGTATAGACAATGATATGGATACTGATAATGTAGAACATCTGCCATTTTATCTGAAGCAGCATTATATCCAGATGTCCTCCCAGACACGAAACTTCCAAAATAAGGATGTTTCTGCAGCTCAGTAGCAGCGTCTAGTCAGTGACAGAGTGACTTACATAGTGAGAGTTTCCTTCAGTGGCAGTGCTGAGTTATGTTAAAACACCACTCTTAATTACATCATCTCTTCCCCAAATTACCTTCTCTCTTGATCACTTCTCCTACTTGCAATGTCGGGACTAGCTAGCAAAGGAATTTGAGGCAGGGAGGAGGAGGGAAGGGAGGGCACACATAAATTGCTACTTTAGCTCCTGCTTGTCCATCACCCTTTGCAGGCATTTCATTTCTAGAAGACTTTATACAAGAACCTCAACTTACTCTTTTGTACAGGAATGTGAAGCGTATGTTCAGAGCAGCTACTTAATCATGGCAACAACCAAGCAATGGATTATTAGGAAAATATAGCCCTTAGAAACAATCACTTTCTTACCTGATTTATTTTAGACCTTCAGTGTACTGAAAAGTTTGGAATACTTATTTGGTTCTTATCCTCTTGCTAAAACATAAAATCCTTGAGGGCACAGTAAATGTTTTACTTTCTAACCTTCTGTAAACAATGTGGAACTTTGAAGCGTTTCTCACCTCTATATCGTTCCTCAGAGAACTAGTGTTAGACAGCAGCTGAATATCTGGAAAAAAATCATGTGTTTGTAAGGTCTCAGGTGTCAGTGACAGAGACACAACTGGATTCCTTCGTGGAAACAACACTGCTTCAGGAAGCACCAATGTGACATATAGATATGTTTGAACTGAATTACCCTACTAAAATAACTGACGATGAAAGAGAAATGAAAAGATTTCTCTAGTCATAAGAAAATTATCAGCAAGTGTGTGTGTCAAAAGCTTGTTTTCTGTGCCAAGCTACAAAAACTATTACAGGTAGTACCTACACTGCAAACTGAAGCACCAGCCAGAGATATTCCAGCTCACTTTAAATTACTTGCTGTTGTATTAGAAGCTGTCCATCTGTGGAGTTCAGAGCTTTTGATTTTACTCAATTTAAGTACCCCCTTAAATTAAGTTGCCTCTTCAGATGTAGCTGCTTATTTTATTAACATTGCTAGTCTCCAGTTCATATCTACCATAGCAGGAAAACTGGTGGTTGTTCCAGTTGTGTGAGAAGAACAAGCTGCAGATCAGCCATGGCCTCATTCCTCCCCATTCCTCTCCATTGTGCCTAGAGGCCACCGGGAGTTACCTTGATAATTTTTCTGACTATAACAAATTCACCTCAGTATCTAGTTTCTGCTTTAACTTTGATATTTCTGTCCATTTTGGGAAGCGTTACTGAAATCAGCTCCTTAGGTTTTCTACTGTTTTCATGGATCTCTTGAACTCCAGAATGAAGCAATGATTAAGATTTTAGTAAATCTTATGATTTTAAGTACATCAAACAAGAAATACCTTGGGGGAAGGACTAAAAATTGAGAGCTATAGTAGATTTCTGCAAAGGATTAACTGGTTTTGGAGTGCTACTCAAGTTTATCTTGCTAACTACTATATTTAGACTGTCTTTAAAAGCTAGTAACAACCTGTATTTCTCATTATCACTGAAATATTTGTACAACAAAAGTAGTTTAGCAACTATTTGAAACAATATTAATGTGTTCGACTCAAAAAGACTTGGAGGAGATTCAACTCCTCACCAACCTGCTTGTCAAGTGATACATTTACATTGCATTGCTTGCGTAATTGTGCTTGCATGAATTATTGATTGGATGCACAGTTTGACATCATAGCAGTTAAAATCTTCCTTTGTAGCTACTAAAGAGCCAATGGACTTTCATTACTATTGCTATACTTGCAAGAATCCGTTGCAGGAACAGGTGAAGTGTACCAAAATACAGCCAAAGGAAATAAAATTACAATGAAGTCCAGTACCTCTGAAGCTTTGTTTAATCTGCCTGGTGCTTGCAGTGCAATTATGTTAGTGCAGGTCAGAGAAGTAGTTTTCTGACAAAAGTAATGCTGCTGAATAGTTTAATTGCTTATCTAATTGCCCAGTAACTTATTCATAATAAAAAAAAAGCTGAGACTTTTTCAGTTTAAATGGTGACAGCTTACACTTACCTTCAGTATTGACTCAGAGCAGATAGTGAGAACTTGGCGAAAATCCCTGTTGTAAATCAGAACATTCGTGCTTTTCTCGTGTGTCTGTGATGTCTGTCTGGTATCTTGTATCATATGAGTTAGGAGATAAGAATCAATGACAGCTGAACCTGCACAGGGCAAGAGGAGTGAGAATATATACATTTTATGTATAGTATCAGTTACTTTCCCTGAATATAAAAATATTTTATGTAAACCATAGGGTTTATTTAAGTTCTTCTAAAGAGGATAAGGAATCTTGTCTGGTTTTTTGAGAATATCTATTCTCTAAAGCAGAAAACATTCACACAGGCTCCCCACAAAGCACGAGTTAAACAATATCGAAGTATTTCTCTGCCTCAACCACCTGCTCCCTCTTGATGGGATTGATACCCTGACTCCAAATCATTAGAAGTCATAAACCCCCTAGTTCCAGAGTGGGTTGGCATGGAATGGAATATCACTGAAATAAATTCTGGTGTCAGCTTTCTTAGAGATAAAGCAATTCTATCTGCAGGCAATGACTATGTCTTTCTGGTACCTTCCTTTATATAACACTGGAGGTCTGAATGGTGTTTCCCAGACACCTTCCAGCACTCTCGGATCAGAAGGTTGCAAAGACAGAAAGTCAGATGGGGAAGACAAGACAAAAGAAAGGATGAGGTTTTTACAATGCAGGTTCACAAGCCAGACTACACATGCAGCATTTCGGTTCCAGTATTATTATGGTTCTGCCAGCAGAGGAGCAGCAGTCAGCAGTGAGTTCGCAGCAAAGGACAAAATTGCCTAATACTTGGCATAAGTCCAAGCATAGAGGCCAGCAGCTTGGAAAAAGGCACTAAAGGAAAGCTGTGGCAATATTCAAATGAAGCATGAAGGTGAGCCGTGATTTATAGATGTTAGTGAACTAATAACAGAAAATCTCCTCTGTAAGGTCAGGTACATAACAATGAGAATTAATTCACACACATAGAGCCTCAGTCTCTTGCCCTTTTCAGGGACAAGGAGACATTAACTTAGATTTTTAATGGAATCATTAGTAGAGTCCAGGACCAGATTTTTACAGATATTTCGGCACTGCTCCAATCGATGTTTATAGGGGCAAAGTTACCTCATTTTGTCAAGGATTCATCCATGTAAAATCCCTACATTACTAAGCCTTGAAAATCTCACTAACTTAAATTTGAACTGAAGATTGTGTCCCTATCCTACAGTGATTAAAAATCTTTAAAAACTAGACTGGTTAATATCCTGGGGATTTTTAAAATAAGACCTGGAAGCTGAAGTTTCTTAAGCTTTGCAGTACTTACCAAATGCCTAAATACACATAACACTTTGTGGACTCCAGTCCAATATATATATTTAGGGTTCTAAAGGAGGCTTATTAGCATAAAGATTCAGCAGAAAATACCAGGTCACTGAAAACAAAATGTTTCACATTGATCTCAGATTTGACAAGCTTTGCAAGGTTTGAGCCTTGTTCCTAACCCAACGACAGAAAAAGCTTTCTCTAAAGACAATGACCTTATTCGCCTGGTATGTCTCAGGCTTCAACAGCCTCAGAACAGGTTCAAAGCTGTTTTTTTTCAGTGACCATGTCTCTAGGGCAGACAAACTCTGCTGGTTTCCGGAGTCTCTGCCTTAGATACAGAAGACTAACATCCTTAGTAACACTGGTGAAGCTCTGGTCCCTTGGAGGTTCCAGGTTCCATGCTACAGAGGCAGGAAACAGAGCCCAGAGACCTTGAGATGACTTCTCACATTATTTCATTCCTGATCAATCAGACAATGTGTCTGTTGACACCACAGATTGTGGAGCTTTCTGTAGCTACTGAGTTAAATAAGGAGTTTGAATATACTGGTGAAGGCTCCACAGAGACTATACTTTGCTGCTTTGATCTCCCAATGAGAGAAAGGCGCTAGAGGAATAGTTAGGGGAAGATCAGCAGCTTAGTAGCTTTCAAGAAATTACAAGGTGACAGAACAATGTCTGTAGTTTAAGAAAGGCTTAAGATTTTTCTAAGAAAGGCTCACTTTACCTTCAGAGAAGCCTTTCTCATTTCCTCTGGTTCCTGCTGTTAATTGCCATGCTGCATATTTTCATGCATATTTTTATACTGAAATTACCACCATATATAATGGGCAAATACCCTTACCTCTCAGTATTCTGTACACCTCATATACCTTATTCCTGTATTCAACTTCAATTTTGTGTAATCGTAAAGGAAATAGCATTCTAGGAGAAGGAAGATACTCTCACACATCAACTGCAGTAACATACTAGTGATAAGTGTGCTGTGATTGTTGTGAAATACCATGGCAAAGGCCTCCATATCTCCAGGACTCCCTTGATTATCATAGAAGACCTGCAGGAGTGAAAAGGTCTGTACATCCCACACTTTAAAAACCTAGAGGGAGAGAAAGGCTAGAAAATCTAGTACTGTATCATAATTGGATTTTCAACTACTTTTTGTTTCTGTGACAGTAGTATTATAGCCTCTAAGGAAAATCACATTCTTAAGCGTGGTACATCCCAAAATAAGCAAGATAAATATCAAAGGTAGCTTTAAACTCATTATACTAAGGATAAAAGGCACAGAAATGTTGAGTTGTGTAATCTTGACCTGACAAGTCCACAGCGGAACCAGGTCTCCTGAGAATTGGTGTTACTCCTTAATGACAAGATGACTCCATTGTGTCATACTTTTCAGTCATGCACAGATATATGCCAATAGTTTAAAAGCTTGTCTTAGAGCTGGAATATCAATCAGTGTGCGACAGTACAAAGATAAATTTCAGATGGTTCCAGTTAAAGGAATTCCTGAAATCTTTGACTGACAGCAGATATTGGAGCAAATCGGGATCAAGACATACTGAAGAAGGATCGTTTTTATGCATATGTAGTTCTTGTGCTCTCCGTAAGTAAAACACTACTGATCACAGTCAGGGTACTATCCTGTAAGGAGCACTAGATATATTAGATATATTTCTTCTCACTTTCAGTTTCAACAGAAAACATAGCACTTGCTTTAAACTCATCAATTCCTCATCAATAATTATATGTTAGAAGCACTTATTCATCCTACTTGATCAAAAGCTGTGTTGAACTTACTTCTATCCCATGCAAACTGCTCTTAATCCTGCAAGAAATCATGATTTAATTTCTCAGATCCCATGGCTTTTAGTGTGATGTGTTTCTCTGCAAAATAATCTTACTATGCTCTCAAAAGTTATTCTTTCATCATGTCTGCTTTCAATTATTATTCAGCTGCCAAAACTGTGGTGAGTTTTATATAGGCATTTGTGCAAGTTATTAGTATTCATTCAGTTGTGGTATTAAAAAACGGGGCTGGATTTTTAATTGAGATTTTAACACAAAGACACGTCAGTGCAATGCACTCACCAATACTGGGAGTGTTGTGGGCGTTGACAAAAGTCATTGAATCTTTGAATGAAATGCTCCATAAAATGTAAGTCCATAAAACACATCAACACAAACCCATGAAATATTCAACTGAATTTGATAACTGAGCTGCGTCTCAGACAGAACTATCACATGAATAATTCTGTGAAAAATTCCTGTGCTACATTCCCTGGAGGTCGTCTTCTCTCAGCTATTCCTTATTTTAACTTTGTCACTCAGTTGAGATCTCAGTGGCTTTTCTTGGGTGATTTTGATGCAGTTAGTCAAATTCTAAGTTCATAGTCTTGGCCAGGAAGTGTGAACCCTGACTGGGGCTGGGCTGCTCTTTCTCTAAAAGAGCAATAATTTTGGGAGATATGATGAGTAAAAAAAAAAAATCTCCTATGGAAATCTGCTGCCATTTCTTCGATTCATCTCAGGATCTCCTGTATGGTGACAAACATTATGGTAAAGGTAGGCCCAAGTCCAAAGACAGCTTGGGTGCGGATTATTGCATTATACTTCTGAAAACCTACTTGATTCAAGCACAGGTAAAAGCAGGTGTGTTGGTATCTTAGCTTACCTATTGTGGAGAGACAGTCCAGTAAGCCTCTTGAAACCTGCCTGAGCATCTGTCCATAACAGATGAGCACTGTAACAGAAAAAGAAGCAAGTGGGTCAGCAATACTGGAAGTTCATTTTGAACTTATTTTTCTTTCTGACTGATATATTAGATAGTGCAATGGCTGGCAGCTTAGAAAAACTTAAAAGAGATTACACAGAACAAAGAATGTAGAGCTCTGTTCAGTACTTTCATGTAATTTCACAAAAGTTTTAATGATATAAGCTACTTGCTAAGGCTATTAACAAGTTATGCCCCAGGAAATGACTTACAGCCAGTCTTATGTCCAAAGTGCTAGAAACTGAAATTCAGCACAGTCAGGGTGCTACTGACCTAGAAATGTTGTTGACCGGTAGAAGAAAGATAGATTAAATTATTATTAAAGACATTTCATTTGTAAAATAATTGCTTTTAAGCCATCTCGCCTAACACTAAGCTAGAAATCTCACAGGAAGAACTCTGAGGAAAAAACAAGAACATGATATCTGCCAACCTTATAAAGAAAACAGCTACAATCAAATTCACTGCTGAAAACTCAGAAAAATCAGTTCCATAATGTTACTCATCTTCTAATACAAAGATCTTTGAAAACCTGAAACAGCCCTGAGAAATACTTTCTCTGCAAATTTGATAATTTTACTTCTGCAGAGTACCACTTGTATCTGTCCATTTGATCACATAAAAGCTTTTTTTTAAAAAAATTTATTTTACAGAACTACTTCAGGAAAAATTTTGATTTTGCACCTACAAACAGAGAAAGCAAGTGGTTTCCCAAAAAAAAACCCCAGCAAATCATAGTCTGAAGCACAACCCACAAGATTTTACTATTTCAGCTTTCTTCATCATAACCTATTCCCGTCTTCATTTTGAAATCTATTTATTATTCTGTAGAACAGAGCATGTGCCCATTATAATTCATAGACAGTATGTTGTGTCCTTAAAAATGCTTTCAATAATGAGGAAGACTTCACTCGTGCATATGTTCATGCTCTGAAAAGTTCATTGCAATTGCCAGGAATGATTTCTTCCAAAGACACACATTATACAATTAAGAATGAATGTTTGTTACTCTGGATGCTATAAAATGTTGAAGTGTCTCTTTTTTCACTTAAAAGAGGATCTCAGCATAGAAGAAACACCATTGCAAAAAAAAAAAAAACAAAACCCTGCCAAATAGAAGACTGTTCACTGTCTGCAAAATAAAAATAAGGGAGACAGTAAAGGATGAAAGTTGTTCAGGTAGATACATAGATTTTGAGATTATTGGAATTCCCATCAGTAATCTGATTTTAAAGGAAGTTACAGAGGATCCACCAAAATTCTGAAAAGAAAGGAAAGAAAAGAAACAGATACATCAATTGTTTAAACAGATCAGCTTTGACACCAGAGAGAAGTTCATACATAAGTGTTTCAGAATTTTAAGAAGAAAGAAAATTTCTCCTGAATATTTTGTTTATTTTCAGCAAAACTCAAAAGGAAAAGGAAAAGGTTCTAAAGAACTTCTTACTGAGATGAAATTTTCTCTGAGACAGTACATCAGAAGAACCATGTCCATCGTATTCCTCTGATAGACTTCTGCTTACATTTCAGGAGTTTACTCAAACATGAAATTTCTTCAGCATACAAAAAGAGTGTTAGGGAGAAATTGGTAGTGAGAAGGCTTGAAAAAGGAAATCTGGTTGAATAGAAAAAATGATGCAACTGTTCATCCAGCTCACAGTAGACTAGCAAAAATAGAACAAAGAATTGGTGATGAAAGTTGAGAAAGTTAGGGCAATGTTGCAGGTAGATCTCCAAGCTCAATTCTGGCACAGTCATAATTAGGGCATGTAAAAACAGCTGTAAGAACTGAAGATTAATCAGGAGTAGATATCTATGGAGATACTTTAGCCAGGTGAAAAGAATAAGTTATTGAACAGAGATATAATGATGTTTCCATAAACATCACCCAGATCTATTACGAAGTTAGTAAAATTATGCAAAATAAAACTGAAGACAGACAGCTCCAATAAATTCATGGACTATTCAAGTTAAATTGGTCAATGATCAAAACATAAATCTGACTGCTTATTTTATCAAGGCAATAAGAAGAGATGATTATTTTACAGCACAAGTGAATATGAGTTAAGAGCCTTTTCCACTATTTCTTGCCGCTTGTTCAGCTATTAATGCCAGTACCACATTAAGAAAATGCAGTCGCTTAAAGTGACAGCAAAAACATGGACACATCACGGCATTTGTAAATCTCTTCCCTTCCTTCTGGCCTTCTTCCTTTCCCAGCCTATGGGCAGGGATGGGGAGATTACATAGACCACTGTTCCACATGAGTAACTCCCACCAAGGTATCACCAGCGTGGCTGCGAGGTGCAATGTCACTGCTGTTCATCTGCATCCGCACACACGACTGTGCATGAATTCCTGCACACTGAGTGGCAACGAAAGGCGTGCTTATTTGGAAATTAGGAGGTGACTAGAGGGAGTTGCTTTAGGAACATTTTGTTTATAGTAACTTTACTGTTCTGCTTATTTATTGAAGAACTTTCCACAGCAGCCTAACAAATGCCAGGAGCCCCTGAAGCCCTCTTAAAACATATTCTTTATGGCAAAATGCTTCTAGACTGTGTCTTCTGAAATCACAGAATACAGACTATATTCAAGCAAACAAAACTCATTCGAGAGGAGGGGGAGTGTGGAGAGAAGGAGCTTCCACTCTTTTTGCTAACAACTTTCCTTCTTCCTGCTGCTTCCACCTTACAGGAAAAGCTGAGCTATACTTATTAGCAACATTATATCTACAACACTGGCTCACATTAAATATATGTATTTGCATAAATAAACGCTTTTCTCTCAAGCACCAGCTTCCTGCAAGCCCTAAAACTCAGAACATAGAAAAAGCCTGAACTATCTTTTCTGTCTGGTCTGAAGCCTGTATTTTATGTGCATGTTAAACCAGCAACACTCCTCTCGTCTATTTTTCTTAATACACACACAGAGACAAAGAGCAAAAGATTACCAACTAAAATGGGAACAGCAGAGGGAGACAGAACAAAGCTGGGAAATAGGGCAAGACAAAATTGGCAAATAAATGTTTTACATGCTCTCAATACAATAAAGTTCAGGCTCTGGAACACTTATCTCCTGCTGGATTGTCATGAGGTGGCCACTGTGGAACCATGCTTTGACTTTGGAGGAAGCGAATCTTCTTCTGCCCCTTTCTGTCTGTAATTAACTGAGATAGAAAAGGACTAAAGAAGCCCAGGATTTGCTGACCTCCCCTCCCCTACCACCAAAAGCTAATCCCTTTAAATTACTGCTAGTTAAGAATAAGAAAGTGACCTTAAAATACTGCTCTAAAGAAAATATTTTGACAATTCTCAAGAGAA